CTGAAGCATAAACGTACCGATTCAAATGTGTGTCGAGTATGTAAGGAAAGCTTCTCTACCAATATGCTTCTGATTGAACATGCCAAACTACACGAAGAAGATCCCTACATTTGTAAATACTGCGATTACAGGACAGTAATTTTTGAGAACCTCAGCCAGCACATTGCAGACACCCACTTCAGCGATCACCTGTATTGGTGTGAGCAGTGTGACGTGCAGTTCTCCTCAAGCAGTGAACTCTACCTGCATTTCCAGGAGCACAGCTGTGATGAACAGTACTTGTGTCAGTTCTGTGAACATGAAACAAATGATCCAGAAGACTTGCATAGCCATGTTGTAAATGAGCATGCATGTAAATTAATAGAACTAAGTGATAAGTATAACAATGGAGAACACGGACAATACAGCCTCTTAAGCAAAATTACCTTTGACAAATGTAAGAACTTCTTTGTGTGTCAAGTATGTGGTTTTCGGAGTAGACTTCATACAAATGTTAACAGGCATGTTGCTATTGAACATACTAAAATATTTCCTCATGTTTGTGATGACTGTGGGAAAGGCTTTTCAAGTATGCTAGAATATTGCAAGCATTTAAATTCACACCTATCTGAAGGGATTTATTTATGTCAATATTGTGAATATTCAACAGGACAGATCGAAGATCTTAAAATTCATCTAGATTTCAAGCATTCGGCTGACTTGCCTCATAAATGTAGTGACTGCTTGATGAGGTTTGGAAATGAAAGGGAATTAATAAGTCACCTTCCAGTCCATGAAACAACTTGATTATTCTCTTTATTTTGATTTACATAATGTTTTTGTGAAATAATAAATTCAACCTTTTTTTTGAGATGTTAAAATGGGTAATTTTAAAAACATGAGATTTGCCTTTTAACAAGTAACATTTTCCAGTATGTAATTATACCTTAATTGTGGTATTCAATTGCATGGTAGTATATAGTTTTAATCATTCTTGGTGACTGTAATTTGGTGTCTTGCATGTGGTTCAATTTTATGAATTGAGAAGAAACATGTACTAAAAAAATTATCTACAATTTTCCTTCCTTAACCATGGTGCTATTAACCTTTTTAAACGCAAGATAGGCTTAGTTTTTTTTTTTTTTTTGTATGAAGTTATTAAATTACTGCACTACCAGAACTAAAAGAACATAAAATACATTTAAGTTCATTCACAGTCCCTTAATAAGACCACCCCCCCTTTTTGTAATACCCATCAGGAATTAAACCTAAGCAATCAGTAGACTCTCTGTGATTAATAACAGTAGGAAGTCTTCGTTATAGTAAGGGAAAATACCATTTTGGGGGGCAGTTTTTCATTTTTTAAATCCCCTATCTGTTGAATAATTTTGAAATTGGGGAGACAGTAAAGCAATAGACAAAAAAAAGGTAACCATTTCATAACTGATTGACATTTTATCTTCAATTATAGGACTATGAAGATATGCCCAACTCCTTTTTTTTTTTTTTTTTTGTACCAGAAATTTAACCCCCAGGACACTTAACCACTGAGCCACATCTCTATAACCTTTTTATTTATCTAGAGACAGGGTCTCACTTAGTTTCTAAGGATCACTTTGAATTTGGGCTTTTAACTTGGGATCTTTCTGCCTCAGCTTCCCAAGCCACTGGGATTACAAGTGTGGGCCACTACCCCTGGCTAATGCCCAAACTTCTGATACCAAATTATACATCGAGAAAACTCATTTAACTATTAAAAAAAAAATTAGCAAGATCTGGGTGATAAGGAGTTGCTGGCATGATAATGATAAATTAGATTTATTATTTTTATTAATTGACTATAGCTATCATAACAAATTATTACAAACTGGGTTGCCTAAATAGCAGAAATTTATTGAAATTCTGAAGGGCAGAAGTTAATAAAGGGATTGGCACACAATTTGTTCCTTCTGTAACCTGTGAGGGAAGAATCTGTTCCAGATCTCTCTCTTTGGCTTATACATGGTCATATTCATGTTTATAGGGTATTCTCTCTTTTTTTTTTTAATATCTTTTTTAGTTTTTTCAGCGGACACAACATCTTTGTATGTGGTGCTGAGAATCGAACCTGGGCCGCCCGCATGCCAGGCGAGCGCGCTATTGCTTGAGTCACATCCCCAGCCCCTATTCTCTTTGTATTAAGTCTTGTTTCCACATTTCCTCTTTATAGACATACCAGTCATCCTGTATTAGGGACTATACTACTAGCTTCATTTTAATTTGATAAACATTCAAATAAGAGGGGCTGGGGATGTGGCTCAAGCGGTAGCGCGCTCGCCTGGCATGCATGCGGCCCGGGTTAGATCCTCACCACCACATACAAAGACGGTGTGTCCGCCAAAAACTAAAAAAAAATAAATATTAAAAAATTCTCTCTCTCTTACTCTCTCTTTTTTTTTTTAAAGAGGGGGGGGGGACAGAGAGAGAATTTTAATATTTATTTATTTTTTCTTAGTTCTCAGCGGACACAACATCTTTGTTTGTATGTGGTGTTGAGGATTGAACCCAGGCCGCACGCACACTAGGCAAGCGCGCTACCGCTTGTGTCACATCCCCAGCCCCTCTCACTCTCTCTTAAAAAAAAAAAAAAAAAAAAAACATTCAAATAAGGGCTGGGTATGGTGGCACATACCTGTAACCCCAGCAGCTCAGGAGACAGGTGCTAGGCAACTCAGATTGTCTCTAAATAAAATACAAAATAGGGTTGGGGATGTGACTCAGTGGTCTAGTACCCCTGAGTTCAATCCCCAGGAACCAGGGGAAAAAAAAAATATTCAAATAAGGCCTGAAGTACTGAGGACTTTTAACATGAATTTGGGGAAACAACCACAGATCAATAAATAGCTTCTAAAATAATATCAAGATAGAATTTTTTTTTAGAGAATTTTAAAAATATTTTTTAGTTTTCGGCAGACACAACATCTTTGTATGTGGTGCTGAGGATCGAACCCGGGCCGCACACATGCCAGGCGAGCGCGCTACCGCTTGAGCCACATCCCCAGCCCCTCAAGACAGAATTTTTAAAAAATGTTTTTATTAGTGCATTGTAATTATACATACTAGTAGGCTTTATTGTGACTTTTATACATGCACATAATTTTCTCCATTTCCTAGTACATTCCTTTATCCATACATTCTTTCCCCTCCTTCCTTCCCTAGTCCTCTTACTCTATTTTAATGATCTAAGAAGATAGAATTGTACATTTTTTTTTTCTTTTTTTCAGTACTGGGAATTGAATCCAGGGGCATTCTACATTGAGCTACATCTGCAGGCCTTTTTATTTTTTGAGACAGGGTCTGGCTAAATTGCTATAGCTGGACTCAAACTTGTGATAGTTCTGCACTAGCCTCCTGAGTCTGTGCCTCCATGCCTGATGTTGCTTTCAAATTTAATAAGCATTGCTGCAAACATTATTATTTCCCAGATATATTGATACAGTTGAAAAGGCCAATTTACAACCCCGGACTTTGGTCTTATTTTGAGATGGGTGGCTACAACAAATATTCAAATCCATTCCATCATATTGATGGTCTTAGTGTTTATTCCATAATCCCAGCCCCTCAGCAGGCTGAGGCAGGAGGATTGTAAATTCAAGGCCAGCCTGGACAATTTATCAAGATGTGGTCTCAATAGTAAACCTTATTTCTGTTTTTGTCATATAAGCATACTTGCATTCCTAAAAACATTCCATCTGATTATAATATTCCTGGTAAGACTGTGCTGATACAAATGTTTCTCAGAAGACCTAATATTTTAGCACTTTTAATTTTTTTTTTTTCTGGTACTAGGGATTGAACCCATAGGCATGTGTTGCTACTGAGTTGTATCCCCAGCACTTTATTTATATTTTGAGATGGGTCTCACTGAATTGTTAAGGGTCTTATTAAATTGCCAGGCTGGCTTCAAACCTGTGATATTCCTGTCTCAGCCTCCCAGATTGCTGGTATTACAGGTGAGTGCCACAACACCCACCTACAGTTTGCTACAGGATCAGGTTGTTATGAGGCCAAGAGCACATACCCACTTAATACCTTGCAGGAGTGGAATCCTAGTCATTTGGCTTACAGCTTAGTGATGTTTCCATTACACCATGTTATGTAAATCTAATCTTTGTCCTTGGGGTGTTTTGCATGACTACTTCACCTAGTCATTCACCTAACTTCTTTTTTTTTTTTTTTAAAGAGAGAGAGAGGGGAGAGAGAGAGAGAGAGAGAGAGAGAGAGAGAGAATTTTCAATATTTATTTTTTTTTTAGTTCTCGGCGGACACAACATCTTTGTTGGTATGTGGTGCTGAGGATCGAACCCGGGCCGCACGCATGCCAGCTGAGCGTGCTACCGCTTGAGCCACATCCCCAGCCCTCACCTAACTTCTTGATAATTGTTTTTTATACTTTCTGATACACATCTAGCTTTGGGAATTTGAATTTTAGGAAGCAAACCTTAATGCCTTGGTGTTAAAAAAAATTGTATGTTGGTGCAGGCATTTAATCCCCACTACGAGGGAGGCTGAGGCAGAAGGATCACAGCCTAGATATCTTACATCTCAAAGTAAAATTAAAAAATTTGGGATGTAGCTCAGTGCTAGAGTGCTTTCCTAGCACTTTTCCTAGCACTGAAAAGAAATCTGTACTTTATTGCTTCACTCTTGATTAGGTATTAGTAGCAAATGAAAGAGTTACAATGAAACTACTCAAGAGGCATAAATCCATATCATGCTGAGTGTGGTGGTGTGCACCTATAATCCTAGAGGCTCAGGAAGCTGAGGCAGGAAGATCTTGAGTTCAAAGCCAACCTCAGCAATGGTGAGGTGCTAATAAGCAACTCAGTGAGACCCTGTCTCTAAATAAAATACAAAATAGGGCTAGGGATGTGGCTCAGTGGTCAAATGCCTCTGAGTTCAACCCCTGGTACCAAAACAAAAACCCAAAACCATATCGTTTCCTACTTTTATTTTTGGTACCAGGGACTGAAAGAAGGGACATTTAATCCCGAACCATATCTCCAACCCTTTTTGTTCGTTTGTTTGTTGTTTTGGAGACATTGGTACTAGGTAATGTAGTGAGAAGTTAAGTTCTCCCTGAGTTGTTGAGGCTGGCTTGAAACTTAAGATCCTCCTGAGTCACTGGGATTACAGGTGTACACCACCGAGCCTGGTTTATAATTTCCCACTTTTTGATAAATCTACAGCATGAGGTCATATTCCACTGAGTTTGTCCAATAAAAACAGTTTTCAAATAAGACTATGATTGTCCATAAATTGCTAAAGTAATTGGGCTGTATTTTGGCTTAATAAGTTTGGGAAAAGAAAACCTATGTAAAAAGAAATTTTCTAACTACTTTTGGGCTTTTTCCCCTTTCAGGGACAAGACACTGCCACTGTACTCTTTTGTGACTTGATCCACACACAATTCAAGGCAGAATACATAATGATTTTTATGAACATTACACAACAGAATTTTTGGCAGCAGTGAAAAAAGATGGGTCATTATTGTTTTTCTTGCCTTTGTTTTAATCATCACTTTGCAATGAATTATTACTTCTGAAATTTCAAAGTATTTCTTTGTACTCTAGAATTTGAAAATGGTTGTACACTATTCAAAAGCCTTTATCTGCTTATAAATTTGCTAGCTTTACCATTTTAAATCATCTTTCTTAAGTTTCCCTGAGAATGCACCATCACATATTAACCAATTTCTCAGTTTTACTGGGTCTATAACCTATTGTTAAGTGGTTTCAGAATTGTTGCAGGTAAGGCACAAAGGCTTTAAAGACTAGCACCCTTCCTAATCTTTAAATCTAATTTACAAAGCATTGGATTAACTTAATTCCTAGCACTTTTCAATTAACTTTATAGCTTAAAGTAAAATATATTTTCCAAACTACTATGTTTAATTTTTAATGTATTTTTTAAAGAGAGTGAGAGAGAGAATTTTAATATTTATTTTTTAGTTATCGGCGGACACAACATCTTTGTTTGTATGTGGTGCTGAGGATCGAACCCGGGCCGCACGCATGCCAGGCGAGCGTGCTACCGCTTGAGCCACATCCC